TATTTAACCAATCAGAATATTTCATTCTGCCACGTCAGTGAGGCAATTCTGAAATTGGGCTTGAGGTTTTACAAATCCGTCATGTTAATAGCAGAAGCCCATGAAGCCCATTACATCGACTCTTTACGCCGATTTTCGTCTTCTTCTTTATATTGGTGAACTCTTTGCTTTTCGTCTTCTTCGCTTCATCAGTTTGATCACGATCAATCAATATCCCCTCAACTTATTTTCTCCCTTGAATCTCATTAATGGATTCTTTTCGTTTGCCTCTTACTCAGTTTCTATATAAAGCTCTTCTTTGGAGTTTCTCAAACAAAATTGATTTTTTTTCCTCTCATTAATATATTGCGATGAGTTCATCTGTCAAATTGACTTATCTGGTGATACCAACTCGAAGAAAGCAAAAGGCAAAGCGGCGAACTCCTCCTCCAGTCCGATCAAACCCATCGGGAAAACCCGTGTATATTCCAGTCTCTCCATTGGCGTTAAGGGCAAATCGCTGCCTCCTCCGGCATCAGAGGAAAAGCTATTGTCACCAATGAATGGTTGCAAAATCTGGAAGGTGAGAAGTTTCGGATTCTTTTGTTGATTGATAAGTTTTTCTGATACTTTATCATGATATTCACATTAGAGACACTTACTACTTGATTGCAGAGCGGCTTACCTTTGGTCCAACAAAGGATCACCAAGTTGGAAGAAGAGGTATGTTCTTGCAAACTTTGTTCTGCCAAGTTTTGAGCTACTTTTTGCTTCAGATCCATTAATCTAAAGATTAACAGGGTTGGTATTGCTAGGTTTAACTTTCTGGGCTGCCCTGAGAACGGCCAAATTCAAGCTTTACGTTTTAGAGGATAAAGCAAGAGATGCTGAGGGTCAAGTTAAAGCTACAAATCTCCAAGTTAAACAGGTGTTAATTGGGTTGTGTTTGACTACTATCCATTCCTTTCTTTTACTATCTAAAGCATATATTTTATAGCTTACGTCGAGAAAGTATGTGTGGATCCTCAAGTGGTTAAGCATATATTTACCTATAACTGGTTGCTATAAAAAATTTAAGCATGTTTAATTTTGTCTGATTGCTTCTAATATACTTTCTGATCATTTATAGATGACCGAAGTTGTTACGGAGCACTGGATTCTCAAGTTCAGCATCTGGAGCAGGTCTTTTAAATTATGCTTTTAAGTGTGTGAGTGATACCAAGTAGTGTCTAGATTCACGTTGCTGATTTTTTTTTGTTCTAATTTCATCTTGAAGATGAGAGAATTCAGTAAACGAATGAATCACGTTCCTAGCAGATGCACTCTCTTGAAGGTAACATCTGAATACAGCTCTCGGACTTACATGAAGTTTGTACACAAGCTTGAACCTTTGTTTAGTCATCTCAGAAGTCTCTCATTTCTCCTTTGTGGATCTGCCTCACTGCTTTTTTAGTTTTTATTGTCTCTCATAAACTATTGCAGGTTGGGATACTTTATGAGTCTATAAACACACTTTAAAACTGGGTCATCTGGCCATTGATGCGGTCGCTGCTCACTTCTTGAGATTTTATAAGGAGACAAAAGTTAAGTCTGACATTTGGCACCAAACTCTTCTCGCCTTTGTGCAACGGTAAGGAATAAGAAGAAGAGTGGCTCATTTCAGGCACATTACGTCTGCTTTTGCCTATCATGTCAAGTGTTAGGTTCTTCTTTTGCAGCCTGTGGAGAGGTGAAGAGTATCTGAAATTTCTATCGTTGTTTGTGTAGATGATGTTATTTAGTTGATGTGTTAAAAAAATGTTATTTAGTTGGAGTAATTCATATACAAAGTTTACAGGCTCAACGTCAACCCACCCAAATAATTAGTATTTATGGGAAAAGAATTCTTCATTTTAAATCTATTAAGAACCAAAAAAATAAAACTCTCACTAAATTTTATTTATTTTATTTTATTTCTAATGTTTGTTTTAAAACACATATAATAGTGGGATTTTTGCAGAATTGATCTGAAACTTGAAATCAACCACAAAACTAACCTCTTTTTTTTTGGAATTTTATTTTGCCCAATTCACCCCACAAGTTCATATAATCCACGAAAATGCCATCAATTTTCTTTTTTTTTTTCGAAAATAACATATTTACTCTCTCACCCTCATCATCTTCAAGTAATTACAAGATTGCCATTGTCATCAATACTCCAACAACCATGAACAACCAATTTTGAAGCTCTTAATGCCTCCAAATTCCATTTACCCTTCTTCTTTCTCTATTCTCATGAACTAAACAACACATTACAACACATATCTCTCACT